CGGGGCTCCAGCGCCTCGGGGAGGGAAGTATGGGGCTGCCTGCCCCAGGGCTGCACCAGCCTGGGTGGGCAGAGGTGCCTGTGCCAAGCTGGGCCTGCGGAGCTGGCTCTTGCATCCCGGTGACCTTTGCTAGCCGCTGGTCAGCTCTGTCATCAGAATCTGCGTTAGCAAAGCTGCCCTTAGGGTATAGCTGCATCGGTGTTTTTAGGAAAAGCTCTCATTGTGGAGCAGACAGTCTGGAAGGCACTGTGGGGATGGGGAAAAAGAGGATATAGCCTTTAAATCTACTTGAGTTTTTAGCTGCATCTCTCTTTGGAAAACCCTTGTGTTTTAGCTGACTGTAATGGCTGCCTTCCTTCTGCGGCATCCTATTTCATTCGTGCCTGAATATTTTGTGCAAACATACTTCAAACAGGAATATTAAATTCTTCTGCTGATTGGCTTTTGGAAGCTACTGTTTTTATTGCATAACACTGTAGAATCCCTCAAAATGAAGTCTCCTCAGAAGACATGAAGTTTCAACTACTTCAGACTTGGTTACTTCGAAATGCATGTCTAGACAATGGGAAGTGCTACCAGGAAATGGTGCTTAGCTGAGTTAAGCACCCATCTGAGACCTGCCTATTACAAATAAGCTTTGTGTGCGCCATATACAAGAGTTTTAAAAAAAGGAGCTTGTTCATGCAGAGCAATGCCCTGAAGGAACAATGTGAACCGTGTTTGATGTTTCTTCATTATCATCAACTGATGACCAGGGACTGGCATCTTTAACATATTGTTGAAGAGTTGACTATTACCATGGATATAAGAAGAAAAGGTGCTAGCTTGCTTATTTTCACATACAATTTTTTTGTGTATGAAGGCAAGCTTAGAATGAGGGAACTCAGTGGTCTGCAGCAGCCTAAAGACTTCTGATAGACAGAACAGTGTGCAACTTAATTTCAAAGCAGAAATGACTCTCTTTTTGTAGTGCAAAGAATGGATGCAAGAGCGACTAGTTTGCCAGATCTCATATTGTTACTTATGTCAAGAGTATTATGATCAATTTCTTTCCACCATGAGGAAAACCCAAGTTTTTACAGAGAGGAGAAAGATGGTGTGGTGTCACCCATGGGTCTGTATCCTGTGGCTTCGCTCTCTGGTTTGGCCCGTAGCAATTGCATGCGAAGTCCGCAGGCTGGTATCTGAAGACAGTAGGCAATATTGACTCGCGTTGCTGGTACTGCCAATAACTTGCTAAAGTATTCATGTCCAGATGTGCAAAACAAACATTCTTATGGATTTGAAAAAAAACTGTATGTCAAAACTCTGTTGAAAGCTTATGTTTGTCTGCAGAACGTTGGAATTCTGGCTGTGCTTGTTAGAAGAAAATTAAAGACCTTGCTGCAAAAAAGATTCTCATAAGTTTTGTGACTGCTGTAGTTGTTTCCTTAAAGTATTACACTTACTTTATGCTGCCACCATACTTTCTAGTCATCTTATGCTGTGGATTTAGCAAAGCATAACTGCATTATAAATTCCTTATGAAGAGCTGGAGACTAATAGAGTATGGATAAGCCAATGCCAGGGCTTTTGATTCGCCATGAGTGAAGAGCTTTTTGAGATTACAGGGACCAGTATGTAAGCTTCCCAAAGAAGAACAACAATGGGAAAGGAATGGAAACAATGGAGACATTTTTTAAAATTTTTTTGTGTCAGGGAGAAAAACACAACAACCCCACAGGATTTGTGATAATGGAGACGCTTGTTTTTTCAGACTGTGCTCTCTTGCAGAGGTGCATTGAGGAAAGCAGTACCATCTCGGGCAAATTTCACTTGGATAATAAAGGTGTTCTCACAGTCGTGGAGTTTAAGTTCTTTAAATTGTGGTTAAAAATCAATCATGTAGCTGTCAAGCTGTGGAATGAAGCCCTGATTTATTTTGGGCTCCATTTTTGGGCTTTTTCAAAGCAAGGAAAAATTTTAATATATTCAGTACTGATTAAATCTGAAGTGTTTCTCATAAGTCAGTTTACATGGTCCCTGAACTTCAGGACTTGCAGCTGATCTTTAGAATAGCTTCTTAATACTTCCGTGCCTGTTGGCAAACTTCAAAGTGTATGTCCTTCAATTACTATATTTTTTTTTTTTCTAAATGCCACTGGTATTCTTCCAAGTGCTTTTCTGAAACTTGGAATGGCTGAGCTGTGAAAGTCTCTTTAGATCTTATAAAGAAAATATCCATGCATAAGCACAGGAAAAATATCAGTGCATTCTTTTTATGGTGGCTTCTCAAAGCTGCCTGCCTGCCTGCACATAGGTTGGCAGTCTTCCTTAAGAATTAAATGCTGCTTCTTTTAAACACTTCTGAAACCATTCACTGAGGTTAGTACAAACAATGCATCTGGGCCCAGTGACACATTTTTTGTATTTGGAGTATTTTTAATGCTTAATTGAAGGAGCGTACTAAAACTTAAATGCCTGAAATTGTCTTCTAGCAGTGGTGTGTAGAGAGGACTGAACTTGTGACTGAACTTAAGGTTCTTTCTGTAATTGGAATTGTCTTGTTAAACACAGCTGGAGTGGAAGAAGCTCACTTAAATGGAAAGACTTCAAAGTAACTGAACAGTGACCTTGGGAAATAATGATAATAATAATTAAACCCTGACCCCCAAACCCTCGCCCAAGCCCTCCTGTTTCTTCTGTGGATGTTTTGTGTTCTGGCCTGAAAGTTAAAAGTATGATTATGAGAGAATAGCTCTTATTTCTAATGTGGATGCCAAACTCCCAGCTTAAGTATTTTCCCAGATGTGACCTCCTTTAGAACAAAAATAAAGTCTTACGTCTTTCACTAATAATTAGGTACTTGTCTGACTATTGAGGATGAGGAGTCCCACTGGGTTCAAATAGAGGGTGATCCTCTAAGAACTGCTCACAAGATAAGCTTTTTGTGGGGGGAGGGGGAGAGGCAGGATGTTGCTCTCAGTGGATTGTAGAGATGTTATGAAATCATCCATGTTCTCTGGAGTCATCTGACTTGACCTCTTGCAACCAGAATTTGAATAAATACATTGGCAGCATTAGACTTCCATGTTCTGTTGTTCCTTGTTGAGTTTGGACTCCTGCATGGAGCTGTCTTGAATGATAAATGAAGAACTAAGGAGGCTCCCAAGCCAATCCATTTATGCCAAGATGAGCTGTCACTGAGACTACAGATTTTAATGACACTCTTCTTTTCCCCTGCTGTTTTTCATTCCAGAAGTCATATAATCAGTAATGGTTATATTTCAAGTGTTCTGGTTGGTTGAGGTTAATATTACCTCTGATGCCAGTCTAGCCCACACTTCAGTGTTTCCAGGTTATGTGCAAGCTCTGGTGGACTCCATTTTGCCAACAGTTTAGCTCATGCTTTTGAAACTTACATTGCATGTAAAATAATTCCAAGCTTTTTTTCAGAGTGCTCGGTTGAGGGTGGGGGGGGAGGTTGTCACTGGCTGATTATGATACATGTTAAGTATTTCACATATCTCTGATAGTAAGGCAAGATCATAGTTTTTGTTTATAGCTAAACAGATTAAATCAGGCCAACCACTTTGTGTGACTTCCAATTTGATGTTGACTAGATAATTTGGGACATTTTAGGTTAAATGTTGAGATTAATATACTTCATGCAATATATTTGTGGTATATTTAAATCTATTAGTGGTAGGTAAACAGCTGGACTTGATTTCACTTGCTTTTAGCCAGGTGTTACTTTTCCCTATGTCAGCACAAGGGATTCCAGTTTTGCCTGCTGTGCAAGTTGAGTATGGTGCCACGCTATGTAGAAATAACTTTCTTTTGTTCCACTATCTTTCTGTAGCCATTCCTGTTTGTATCTTATTTGCATCTTTTCCTTAATTTGGAGCATTCTTTGAGTTATAGAGCAAAAGTTGCTAATGAAGCACAGTTACTAGTGCTAAAACATCTTTCTGCTTGTGGCTTTTTCTGACGTGGGTTACTATCTAAATAAACTTCTGGGATGTTGACTTACGGAGTTGAATAGGTGCTCCTGAACTAGGGAGAGTCCTTGAAATCTGTGCCCAGGAAGTTGTGCACAAATGAAAGAATACCACCTTTGAGCTTCGGTTAAAGCTTTTCTGGCTCTTCTGATTAGGAAGATAGTCTCCAAAATAGCATCTGCCCTCAGTCTCTTGTCTCTGCTATGTTGGCAAGTGGAAGCTTACGGAGGTGGAAAGCTCTCTTCTCATAAGTACAGCGATAACTTTGAAAGCAGACTTGTTTCATTTCAGATGAGAGCTGCATTGATGGATTAGGGTTCATGATGTTGAAAATAACTACGAAATGAACTTTCGTTATCTATTGGCATCATGGACAGTTATGTACTTTACGTATGGGCAGTACCTCTGTATCTGTTCTTCTAAAGCCAAAAGTCTGAATTGAATGACTTATTTAGTCAACTATTGGCATTTTTGTGAGGAGTAGTAGAAGCAGGTTTTATATGAAGAGATTTCACACCAGCTGAAACAGGTAGATAAAGCAACAGCTTTTGAGCATTCAGTCTCTTGATCAAGTGTCCTAGAGGAGCTGCAAATTCCCTGAAAATTCCCTGTTGATCAAATTACTGTATTCGGTGAGAACAACCATTTCTGCAGGTCCTCTAGCTGCAGTTCGTAAAGGGATGGATATGATTCATATGCATTTGAAATAATTGTTAGATTTTGAATCTATGTCAGCAAGTTGGATATACGGTAGAAGTGTTGCATTGATGTTGGGGGACAACATATTTAATCATTTTATTAGCTCTTTCAGATTTCCATAGCATATATCTCCTTTCAAGGTTAAGGCATGTCACTAATGGCTTTTTGATGAGTGCCCCTTGTGAAAGATAGCATTTAAGCAGCCGGAAACTAAACATAGCTTTTGAGATTGTGATAAACTGGGATCAATGAATTTAGCCTTGAGTTTGGAAGGTGATGTAATGCAGTGGTAACAGAAGATTATCTTTTTGTGGATTTGGAGTGTGTGCAGCTACTGGGGAAGTCTCCCAGGTTCTGGAAGTTTCTGTCTGTCAGGAATAACTTTTGTAATGTGAATATGTGCCTTGGAGAGATGGACCTTATGTGTAATCCTCATCTGTGCATGTTGCACATATATGCAGTGTTTAGTTGTCATTAAGAGACTTGGCATTATGATGAGTAATTATGGGTTTATGTGAATTTTTGCCTGGTTTATAGGCTTCCAGTCAATAATTTTCTTAATGTCTGTTAATGAGGCTCTTGTTTACCGCAGGATGTTTTCCAGTCCACAGAGAGTGGCAGGTTAGTTGAATCTAACTGTACACTGAGTGTCTGCTTCCAGTGGATAGTAAAATACTCATTTTTAGTCTTGTGTTGGTGGCTGGCTATGATGTCGCATATACATACTTTGATTTATTTAAAATGCATTTGAGATTATTGCTTATTTAAAGGTCTTTCTTTTTCAGTGTCAGTGTAACTTTGCTAATTCTGTGTTTTGTTTCAGGACTACTCATGAGTTCTTGTTTGGTGCCCTTGCTGAACTTGTAGATAATGCCAGGTATGCATCTGAGACTGCTTAATTCCCAAGATAAATTCAGTTGCAGTGTCCAGAAAAAGTCTGTCTTTTGGGGAGATTCCTGAGCAATTTTCACTTCTAGTAAGGTTTAAGTGTTGTTGAGTATGAATGTTTCAGTTGATCCTCTTGCAACACCCAGACCTGCCACCTAAAAGACAGTATTATTCATGGCAGCTTAAGTTTGAACAAGTCATAAAATAATTTTGGCTGGAAGGGGAATGGTTAGAAGACACAACATGGATTTAAGGATAAAGTATAAATCTAGTTTTTGCTTTTTTTCTTGCTTAGAGGTTTTAGTAAAATAGTAATTACCAGAGATGAGAATAAAAGATACTTACGTGACCGTAGCCCTTAGTATCAAGGATGGCAATAGGACGAAAGGAACAAAATCAGAAATGAGGTGTTGAAAATCAGAGGAAGAATAAGTAGAACAGTTGTGACACTTGAAAATCACAGGTTTTATCCTGCATTTCTAACATTGCATTACAGAATTCAGGTTTTAGCTACAGGCCAAACCTCGCATGTTTATTTCCTTGAACTTCCAAAAATATGCTGATTTGACATTATGGAAATATTTTGAGATTATTTTCTGTCAAGCATGAATTGTCGCACTAGGCACTTAGTAAGATAAGGAGCTGAAACTGAAAGATTTCTGTAGAAAGATTTCTGTAGGAAATAGATCCTATGTTGGAAAGTTGCCATTACTCTGTGTGTGCGTGTGTGCGCTTGCTTTCTGAGGGAGAGAGTTTAACTTATCTTGAATATCTTAACAGAATTTTTACTAGAATTCCAGTCTCTTCATTGGTTGTACTGTAGTAATGATGATAAATGAGCCAGAAAGAACCAAAGTTATTTGGGAAGGTGTTTAAATAAAATATTTCTAAACAAACCGATTTGGAATCAAGACAAATACGCATCGTGGAAGTGGTGCTTTACTAGAAGAGAACTGCACCCTTAGACCAGCAAACCAAGCATATGTGTTGGTCTATATTGCACTAAAAAGGCTGAGTTTGAGGAAAGAGGAGTAACTTAATCTAGTGCTGTATGGGCTGCCTTTTCAAATGCAGAGGAGGATGCAAAGTGTATGAAGGCCTTTATTTAAGTGATCTGGTAATGGCTCAGTTTACTATGACAATCTTGAATATGTTCAGAGGGGAGGTTTATGCAGGTGCTTCTAAACTTTTCAGAATCAGCTTGATGGTAAAAATGTAGGTAATGTTTGTTTCCTACAGGAGGAAGGTCAGTAAATGTATGCTTATTTGATATTTTTTTTCCTCAGTATAACTTTTGTTAAATCAAAATGCCAGTGGTATTCTCTGTGTGTTTATTTGATTTTTTTTTCTCAGTATAAATTTTGTTAAATCAAAATGCCAGTGGCATTCGCTGTGCGCTTATTTGATTTTTTTTTCCTCAGTATAACTTTTGTTAAATCAAAATGCCAGTGGTATTCACTGCAACTAGTATTAATTGTGCTTGCAACAACAATGTTTTATGATGGAGTTTGGATTCAAATAGACAAAGATTAGAACAGTGTGTTGTTCTATACACAAAGGCAGGGCCTTTGTGGATTTTGATATGTGTAGTCAGTTCCTTTTGGAAATTATTACTTACATGTGTGTGGCTTTTTGGCTTCATTTTTATTTGACATGTGAATGCTGACTGTGTTTTTATTACTTTGTAGAGATGCGGATGCCACAAGAATAGACATTTATACTGGTAAGTCACTCTTACTGCTTCCTTACATGTCAGCAGTTACGTCAGTAGTTACAACTTAGATTTAGGCTGCAAAATGTGTGCTGCACGCAGTAGATTAAGACTACTGGCATCTATGTCCATTACGATTTGTCCTGTGCTCCAGTGGCTTCTTCAAATACATCACTAGCAAAAGGAAGCCTAGGGAAAACGTGGGCCCGCTGCCGAATGGGGCGGATGCCCTGCTAACGAAGGCTACAGAGAAGGCAGAGTTATTGAATGCCTCCTTTGCTTCAGTCTTTACTGCTGAGGCCAGTCCTCAGGAATTCCAGACCTTGGAGACAAGAGAGGAAGGCTGGAGAAAGGAAGACTCTCCCTTGGTTGAGGAGGATCAGGTTAGAGATCTTTTGT